AATAGAACACACACAAGTGTATTACTACTGAAATGGGAAATACAATATGTTATTTTACAAAGGCCTATGGCCGAAATATATATAGCAAAACAAGGGAGACTACCAAGTCTCTTATTCACACAAATTAAAGGAATAATAACCACTTATTTGAGTCCTTTGGTGGGGAAGGAAATCAGAGATAGGGGCTGGTTTGTGGGGCTGTTGTTGGGTTATTATTGTGGCAAGTTGTGGTGGAGTGGGTTGCTATTTTGGAGGGTTTTGGGTGGGTTGATTCGACCAGGCAGGGGGGTACAAAGGGTGAGTGGGCTGGTTATTTTGGAGGGATGCAATAGGTAGTTTATGGAGATGCAAAGGTGAGTGGGATTGCTGCCAAGGTGGGCCAATATGTTTTGTTTGTTTGCAGCTTGTTTTCTTACACATAATGGAGAGTATAATGGGGAACAATTGTGGGGGCTGTGACATGGGTTTGGGTAGGTTTTTTGGGTGATTGTGTTTGGCCACAACAAGGGGAAAGAGGGGCTGGTTGATTAGGCCATTTTTGGTATTGTGATTATTAATCTAAAGTGGGTTCAAAAGGTGGGGTAATGTGTGGGCTTTGGGTTTGGGTATTTCGGTCAAAGGTGAGGGCAGAAGAAGAAGGTTGGGTTGTGTTTTTTAAAGGTTGGTTTGGATATTTAGGGTGAGGTGGTTTCAGCCAGTGTTGGGGTTCGGCCTCATGGTGGGGAAGGATCCAAGGACATTATGGTTAGGTTATGATTTTTAATGGTGATAAATTCACTCCAAAAGGGATCATAACACTTGGCCATTATTCCGTTGATTTGTTTAAGGACTTTTTTGTCGTTGGTGGTTACCCGAGGTATATCATCCTCCCGGTCTTCAAAAGAGTTTGTCCTCAAACTCGGCATTTCTTCAGGCTCAAAGTACGGGCTAAGGTCTTTGATATTGAAAGTAGCCGATACTCCATAATCTCCCGGAAGGTTGATCTTGTAGGCATTGTCGTTGATTTTCTCTGAGACTTCAAACGGGCCATCGGCTCTTTTGGCAGCAACTTTGACTTGTGTTTCGTGGGGAAACGCTCTTTCCGAAGGTGAATCCAAACAAGGTCTCCTGGTTGGAAGTGGACGTCCTTCCTTCCTTTGTTGATGCGTGCGCTTACCTTCTCGTTCATAGCCTCAATCTTGTCTCGAACCTTGGCGTGAAGGTCTTGGATTTCCTTTGACCGGTTGTCCGCTTCCCAACTGTATTTGGTCTCCGTGATGATCGGATCAAGTTCAAGTGGGGTCAATGGGTTCGAACCATAGACCACCGTGAATGGGGAGAACCCGGTAGTCTTGTTCGGGGTTCGGTTGTAGGCAAACTCGGCGTGCGGTAGAAGCTCTTCCCATTGCTTGATGTTCTTCTTGATGAGGGCTCGTAAGAGTGTTCCAAGGGTGCGGTTGGTGACTTCCGTTTGGCCATCGGTTTGTGGGTGGCTCGACGTACTAAACTTCAGTTTAGTACCCAACTTTCTCCATAGGGTCATCCAAAAATGGCTAAGGAATTTCGTGTCCCTATCCGAGACCATGCTTCGGGGAATGCCATGGAGTTTGACTATCTCTCGGAAATAGAGATCAGCAACTTGGGAAGCATCATAGGTGGTGAGGCATGGTACAAAGTGGGAGTGGTAGTGTTCCTTCATCCTTGGCCAGTGGTAGTGTTCCTTCATCATCATGTGAATCTTATCGACCCCGTAATGACCAGCTAGGTCTCCTCCGTGAACTTCATTAATAAGGGTTTCTCGAACGCTGCATTTCGGGACGCAAAGTTGGTTGCCTCGGAATAGAAAACCATCCTTGATTAGGAATTCTCCATGTGGCCGAATAAGGCACTTGGAATAAGTGTCCTTGAAGTCTTCATCCTATTTTTAAAGCTCCTGCAAAAATTCAAAGCCAACAAGTTTGGTACTAAGTACCGTTAGTAATAAGTGCCTCCGGGACAAGGCATCGGCACCCTTGTTCATGGTTCCGTTTTTGTGCTTGATGGTGAAGGTGAAGGTTTGGATGTATTCGACCCATTTAGCATGACGGGGCCGAAGCTTATGCTGCCCTTGAATGTATTTTAACGCTTCATGATCGGAATGTAATATGAACTCCTTGCTCACGAGGTAATGAGCCAATGCTCAAGTGAACGCACCAATGCGTAGAACTCCTTGTCGTATGTGGAATACCTCCTTCTCGTGTCGTTTAGCTTCTCACTAAAATACGACACCGGGTGCCCTTCTTGGGATAGGACAGCCCCGATTCCAACTCCCGAGGCATCACACTCGATCTCGAATAGTTTGTCAAAACTAGAAGGGCTAACACGGGGGCATGTGTTAATCGCTCCTTGATTGTTTCAAAGGCTTGTTGGGCCTTGGAGTTCCACTCGAACTTTGATTTTTCGTCAAATCCGTGATAGGTGCCGTGATGGTGCTGAAATCCTTCACAAATCTCCGGTAGAAAGAGGCAAGGCCATGAAAACTCCGAACTTGTTGCATAGTGGTTGGGGTCGGCCATTCTCTAATGGCTTGCGTCTTCTTTTCGTCCACCCGTATGCCTTCACTAGAGATAAAATATCCCAAGAACTCTGTTTCATATGAAAAGAATTGGCTCTTCTCGAGGTTGCCGTAGAGTTTCTCCTCGTCCAACTTCTTAATCACCAAAGCGAGGTGATTAGCATGCTCTTCCTCATTTTTGCTATAAATCAGAATGTCGTCAAAGTAGACAACGACAAAATGACCTATAAACGGCTTCAAGACCTGATTCATAAGCCGCATGAACGTGCTCGGGGCATTGGTTAATCCAAATGGCATAACCAACCATTCGTATAACCCAAACTTCGTCTTGAACGCTGTCTTCCACTCGTCTCCTTCAAAGATTCGAATTTGATGATATCCACCCCTAAGATCAATTTTTGAAAAGATCTTGGAGCCATGTAACTCGTCCAACATGTCTTCCAAATGGGGAATCGGATATCGATACTTGATAGTGATCTTGTTGAGAGACCGACTATCGCAACACATACGCCACGTTCCATGCTTCTTGGGCACCAAAAGTGCCGGGACAGCACACGGGCTAAGGCTTTCTCTTATGAAGCCCTTAGCTAACGACTCATCAACTTGACATTGAATTTCCTTCGTTTCTTCGGGGTTCATTCGGTATGCTGGTTTGTTGGGTAGGGCAGCCCCCGGAGTGAGGTCAATTTTGTGTTGGATGTCTCGTTTAGGAGGGAGACCGTGTGGAAAATCATCGGGGAAAACATGGGCATATTCTAGGATGATAGGCTCGGCTAAGGGATGAGGCTGTTTTGGGCAGTTTGATGGTTCGGCTTCTCCATCTTCCAATAGGATCAAATCTTTAATCCCATTGAATTCATGTTGTTCCGCTTGAAGGATAGTGGAGATAAGAACGAGAGGTTGTTCTTTGGTTGGTTTGGCCGTGGGTGTAGGAGGAGGTAAAGGGGTAAGGGTGATCTTCTTCTTATTCATAAAAAATGAATAAGTATTGGCATAACCATCATGTTGCACACGGTGATCAAACAGCCATGGTCGTCCCAAGAGGATGTGGCAAGCATCCATCGGGATGATATCACACCACACGTCGTCTTTGTATGAGCTGCCAATGCTCAAGGAAATGAGACTCTGTGTCAACACGTAGACCCTTGCCATGATTCAACCATTGAATCGTATATGGTTTCGGGTGTGGTGACGTCTTCAAACGCAGCTTGTCTACCATGGTTTTGGAAGCCACATTGGTGCAACTTCCACTATCGATGATGAGGGAACACACCTTCTTTTGGACAGTGCAACGGGTGTGGAATATGTTTTCCCGTTGTAGTTGTTCCTCGGGGCATGCTAGAGTGCTCAACGTCCTTCGGATGACCAAGAGTTCACCATCATCGGGACCTACGTACTCGTCTTGTTCTTCCACTTCTTCTGCTTCTTCTTCAACCCAAGTTGGGTCAAAGTCTTCTTCATCACATTCGACAATGGCCATCACCTTCTTATTAGGACATTCATTGGCATAGTGACCTCGTCCTTGGCACCGAAAGCAAACAGGTGCTTTCTTGGTGGGATCAGCCAGGGGTGTGAAAGAGGAGGAAGGGTTTCTTGAGGTAGATGGGGAGGAGGAGGAGGGGTTTGGGCCGTGGGCAGTAGTGGGGTTTTTGGGGGTAGTGTAAGGTAATTTTGTTGAAGGGTAAGGTGGTTTGGATGTGGAGGAGTAGGGCCGTGGGGAAGGTGTTTTATTTTTGGAGAGAAAGGCTTTGGATTTCTTATATTGAGCTTCAACTTTGAGGGCCAACTTTGTGAGTTATTCAAGAGAGTCGTAACTTTGCAACTCCACCGTGTGGGCTATTTGTAGGTTTAAGCAAAATAGGTAACGAACAAAGGTTTGTTCGTCATCTTCTTGTAAGTCACATCTCAACAAGAGCTCTTCAAACTCCCGGTTGTATTCTTCAACGGACTTAGAACCCTGCCTAAGCGTTTGAAGCTTAGCAAAATTCTCACGAACATATTCAGTGGGTAAAAACTTCTTCTTTAGGAGGGACCTCATCTTCGCCCATGTGGACACCGGTTCTTTGTCGTTCCTTCTCCTCTTGGTACACGTATTAGTCCACCAAGTTGATGCATACTTCCGGAACTTTAAGGCCACTATCTTGACCTTCTTTTCGTCGGAAACATCTTTGATGTCAAAGACGCGTTCCACCGTTTCTAGCCACTCGAGGAACTCGTCCGGGTCTGTAACACCCTAATCCATCCAGGTATGCAGCCCCTTTCGGACTAAAGTATTGATTTGGTAATTGTGATAATTTTAAACATTTCAAACATTTTTATTTATAAATAATATTCCATACATAATTGTAGAGAAATACGGAGTGTTTAAATAAAATGCGGAAGCGACTTTAAAATATGTCTCATAACAACATAGTTATTTATTTCATTCAATAATCCACCACGACTGTCTCGCCCCTTCTGTTGCCAGGAATCAGCCAATCATTCATTTTGCCTACCTGCGTGTAGCAAATAAAACACACTACACGCTCAGCGGTGAAGCTGAGTAAGCATATCTAATGCATCGAACATCCATATAAATTGAATCTCAATTCATAATTAACCATTTGATATCATGCACACAATACATATTTCAAGCATACATTATTCATGATATTCACAATATTTTATTTTAAGTCATTTCATGATATATTCAATATTCAATATTTCATCAGTGCTCATAAATTATTCTTAATCTAAGGCCAAATCATTTTTATACAAGCTCTTAGCTATCCCTAGTCTAAGGCAATATTTCTAACCAGGCCCTTAAACTATAAATAGTTTGATGCAGATCACAAGAATCGATAATCCACCCTATGAGTCATGCGAATTACGTACCAACCGAACATTGAACTGTCGGGTGGGTGATATCCGGTTTGATCCCGTACGTACGTTTTAACCCCGAAATATGAATTGGTCAAGGAGGTATATCTTAGAGTTCTTCTAGATATCCTTAA